ATGTTTCCTTTAGATGACAGTATTCCAAAGAGTCCCAACTCTGGAGAGTGCGTCATAAGATTTCATGCAATAAGAGGAAAGGTAAGTGAGATATGAAACCTGTTGCAGACCAATTTTCCAACTTTGATTGACAGTTTGTTGACAGCAAGTTGAAACCCCTTATTCCATATTTGCCTAAGGGCGTTGTCAATCTCCGTTGCAGTTTTTACAAGTTCAGGCTTTGCAAACTTGGTACTTTTATTGCTATGATACCACTGATGTCAATCAAACTTGCGTTTTTGAAACGTTCAATCAATCTTCAGTAAATTACCAGAAATGAATTCAGACTCAGTGAGACAGTGAAGTGCCAGCTGTTCAAAGTTGGAAAAGGCAAGCCACTAACTTAGTTCGAAGTCGACATTACAGTCAGGTTTACAGGGCCGTCCATTAAGCCACATTCCTTCTTATTATAGTTTTCTTTATAAAAATACGCCTAATTGGTCGGTTTAAAACATATCTCTTGATGGCACATTTGACAGCTAGAACTTCCAATTTCTCTTACCAGTTTTTGTTTTCTTTAGGATTTTGAGAAATTCGGATTTTACTGCACAACGTCCTAGAATAGTGGATTAGTTGACGTGGTGAATTGATTATATGGAGTCAAACTTTCAATAAACAACCACTTAGTTTCAGCTGTCTTGCACCAGTTAAAAAACTATACTTCACTGGTTCTTATTAATCTACACTACGATTGTACTTAGGACTGAGTCCACTGTTTTGTTTGCCCTCCTTCCCCCTCAAGTCATATTCTGATGTTGTCCAAATTTGAATTTGTTCAAGTCAACCTTTCAGATGGCTTGCAGCAGATCGAGGCAAATGGTGCTTCACCTAGAGGGGCCCTCAGAACTACTACTAATAGACATCTATTTTGTCGTGCCTTACAGATAAAGACTAACAGCAAAACCCAATTTTACATTGAATTTCACTCCACATGTTTGGAAGGTAAGCTAAGGACCAAAGTGTTATAAATTATAATTCTTTATTGAGCTCGTCGATATAATTAGTTTTAATTCTTTATTTATTCATTTATATATATTTTTAGGATAAAAAATAGAGATAAAATCAAACAACATTTCGATCTCGCTGAGATAATTTTCAAGTTTAAAAAAAGGGATTACAGATTTTTGGAGACAAAGGTGTATAAAAAGCCAACAGACACCAGATTATTATTATATTATGAAAGTCATGTTGATGTGCGATATAAACAGTCACTGCTAAAAACAATGCTGAATCGCGCTCAACTTCAGTACCCTGTCTTACTCTTACAATCAACAATCAGTGATTTTGTTACCGCAAAAGTTTCAGGAGATTTAAGATCCAAACAGATGTGTGACGAGAAGAAAGCACCTGTCAGAATAACGTTACCATTTAAAAGAGAAGGTCACTCCAAAAACCGTGTATTTTTTTCCATCACCAATAAAAAGTTCACATTGAGCTGAATTACTCACCGTTGTTTTAGCTTCTGAAATGGATGCGATCCCAATGAAAAAGAAATGAAAAGTTTGACACCGGGAACCGCCATTTTGAAAGGATCTTGGAGGTCAGGCCGGATATCCATGACGTCATTCTGTTCGAGAATGTGTTTGTTCTTTTGAGCTTTAGTATGTCTGCTCTTGAAGCCAGAACGTGCTAGTGATTCTGGGGATGATAATAATCAAGGTAAATGGAACGATCGGTTGGAAAATGCTCTGTGGTGTACTTGTGAGAGATGTGCAACCATGCTGATGCAAAGAGAATGTGTTTGTTGCCGAGTAGGTCACCAAAATGAAAGGTACATTTTGCAGTACAATTACAATGGACGCAGTTAGCAGAAGAGGAAGTTTATTTTTAATTGTAAATTGCTTTCAGAATTGATCTGGTGGCTTAAGTAAATCCCCAGTTTAGTGCTTTTGATCTGATTTGTCTCTATTTTTATTTTACTGTTGCTTAAATGCGGAGGGAGTTCTAGCTGGCATCACAGAAACTGACAAGTTTTCAAAGGTGTGTTTAAATCGGGCAAATGCTTTCCACCTCACAAGTCTGCGTTTTTACTGATA